CTTCACTGTGTTGTTTCCTCTGATGTGCAGAAGCTTTTTAGTTTAATATAGTTCAGTTTGTCTACTTTTGTTTTTGTTGCCTGTGCTTTTGAAGTCTTAGCCATAAAATCTTTTCCTAGACCAGTGTCCTTAAGTGCTTCCCCTGTTTTTTTCTAGTAGTTTTATGATTTCAGGCCTTGTGTTTAAGTCTTTAATCCATCTTGAGTTGATTTTTGTATATAGTGAAAGGTAGGAGGTTAGTCATGTTATTTTGCATATGGACATCCAATTTTCCCAGCACCATTTATTGAAGAAGATATCCTTTCCCCAATGAATGTCCTTGACACCTTTGTTGAAAATCAATTGGCTGTAAATGTATGGATCTATTTCTGAGTTTTCTATTCTGTTTCATGTTATACCTGTTTTTATACCAATACCATGCTATTTTGATCACTAGAGCATTGTAATATATGTTGAAGCCAGATAGTATAATGTCTCCAGCTTTCTTTTTACTTAGGATTGCTTTGGCTATTTGAGCTATTTTTTTTTGGTTCCATATGAATTTTAGGATTATTTTTTCTACTTCTGTGAAAAATGACGTTGATATTTTGATAGAGATTTTATTGAATCTGTAGATTGCTTTGGGTTCTATGGTCATTTTAACAGCATTAATTTTTTCTGATCCATGAGCATGGATTGTCTTTCCATTTCTTTAAGTCTTTTTCAATTTCTTTCATCAATGTTCTGTAGTTTTCCTTGTAGAGGTTTTCACCTACTTGGTTAAATTTATTTCCTACGTATTTTATTTTCTTTTAGCTCTTATAAGTGGGATTTCCTTCTTGATTTCTTTCTCAGCTAGTTTATTATTGGTGTATAGAAATGCGACTGATTTTTGTATGTTGATTTTGCATACTACAACTTTTTTCTTTTTTCTTTTCTTTTTTCTTTTTTTTTTTTTTTTGAGACAGAGTCTTTCTCTGTAGCCCAGGCTGGAGTGCAGTGGAGCAGTCTTGGCTCATTGCAACCTCCGCCTCCTGGGTTCAAGTGCTTCTCCTGTCTCAGCCTCCTGAGTAGCTGGGACTACAAACGCATGCTACCATGCCTGGCTAATTTTTATGTTTTTAGTTAAGACGGGGTTTCACTGTATTGGTCAGGCTGGTCTTGAACTCCTGACCTTAGGTGATCTTCCTGCCTAGGACTCCCAAAGTGCTGGGATTACAGGCGTGAACCACCACACCCGGCTGTATCCTACAACTTTACTGAACTTATTTATCAGATCTAGGAGTTTTTTGTGGAGTCTTTAGGTTTTTCTAGATACAAGATCATGTCATCTGCAAAGAGGGACAGTTCTACTTCCTCTCTTCCAATTTGGATGTCTTTTACTTGTTTCTATTGCCTGATTGCTCTGGCTAAGACTTCCAGTACTGTGTTGAATATGAGTGGTGAAAATAGACATCCTTGCCTTGTTCCAGTTCCTACAGGAAAAACTGAACACTATGATAGTATGATGTTAACTGTGGGTTTGTCATATGTAGCCTTTATTATGTTGAGGTATTAGTATGCTCCTTCAATACCTAGTTTGTTGAGAGTTTTTATCATGAAGAGACTTTGAATTTTATCAAATGCTTTTTCTAGATCTCTTGAAATGATGATATGGTTTTTGTCCTTCATTCGGTTGATGTGATGTGTCCTCTTTGTGGATTTGTGTATGTTGAACTACCTTTGCATTTCTGGGACAAATCCCACTTGATCCTGCTATCATATCTTTTTGATATGCTTTTGGATTCAATTGGTTAGTATTTTGTTGAGGATTTTTAAAATTATTATTACACTTTAAGTTCTAGGGTACATATGCACAACGTGCAGGTTTGTTACATATGTATACATGTGCCATGTTGGAGTGCTGCACCCATTAACTCATCATTTACATTAGGTATATCTCCTAGTGCTATCCCTCCCCCCACCGACAATAGGCCCTGGTGTGTGATGTTCCCCTTCCTGTGTCCAAGTGATCTCATTGTTCAATTCCCACCTATGGATGAGAACATGTGGTGTTTGGTTTTTTGTTCTTGAGATAGTTTGCTGAGAATGATGGTTTCCAGCTGCATCCATGTCCCTACAGAGGACACAAACTCATCCCTTTTTTATGGCTGCATAGTATTCCATGGTGTGGAAACATGTGCCACGTTTTCCTAATCCAGTCTGTCACTGATGGACATTTGGGTTGATTCCAAGTCTTTGCTATTGTGAATAGTACTGCAATAAACATACGTGTGCATGTGTCCTTATAGCAGCATGGTTTATAATCCTTTGGGTATATACCCAGTAATGGGATGCCTGGGTCAAATGGTATTTCTAGTTCTAGATCCTTGAGGAATCGCCACACTGTTTTCCACAATGGTTGAACTAGTTTACA